GTGGGAATTGGGGGCCTAATTCCCATTTTTGCCTTTGGAAAATCTCCCCTTTAAATATGGATGGCCCAAACCCACACCAGTCTTTAAACCAGGGATCCAGACCTCCACTGGTTTTGCAGAACAAAACTACACCCTTGCCCATCTCTATTTTCAAAATCGTTTTATAGGTTTTTCTTATAAACCTCATTCATTCCTTTAGGTAGTTGAGAGTAGCAAGATGAATCAGCTGTCACGTTAAAGCTCAGATTTCAATTTAGCTAGAATACTCCCTTGATATTGAAAGCAGATAGCGAACAAACAAGATTTAAACCACCAGACATTTAAAACAAAATCGGTATGCTCTTTCAGCCTCCTCAGTACAGTCCCTGCTCTTGAAGCCTGGCCATCGCTGTCAAGGTCTGTCTCTGAATATGCCCAGAATGCTAGATACGTAGTAGCTGAGAAACAAAAGTGCTACCTCTGTCTCTGTTTCTCTCTGTTGCTGTTCATGGGGTGATCTGCTTCAATTCATTTGGCAAACTTAAGGTAAAGCATTGAGTTGGCACTTGCCAAAGAAGGAAACGCTGGAAAGAAGAGGAAAATGGCAATAAAAAAGGCAAGGAAAAGCCCATGAAAGATCCATATCTTGGTCTAAATCTTGCTGTCACTCTTTTTTGGGGGGTTATGGAAGTATACGCCTTTGCTGGTGGCATAGTCAATCTCACATGTAGAGGTCTTACATATTGAAGTCCATGTCTTAATAATTTATTTCTTTGAGCAATAGAGGGATAAAAGGTTTAAGCTACTCAGCTTCTGTGGATTTCCACTGCTCCACAACCTGGACCAAGATGTTAATTACTACCGACCCACGTATCCCCATAGGCACAGCCAATCATTTTGCCCCTCAGTTCCTTGGTTTACTTCTTACTCACCTTTGCAAAGTCCTTTAAAAGTGAGTGCTAAATATTATTAAGATTTCACTCTATGCACCCACACACCTGTATAATATGGAACAATGTCCCGCTGGGCTGCTTTCTGGGGAGCGCTCTGGGGATTACACTCATGAAACTTCTTTGCGCCACCGTGGGTGAGGGCAGCTATACCCAGACTACATGCACACATACATTCTCTCATAGGGCTTGTCTACACAGTGGCGCAGTGCAGATTACAGGAGTGTGAATTGCAGAATGCGCTCATGAGTTGTGCTCTGACTGCCCTGTGTGTAGACCCTGCTGGTGCGAACTAAAGGTACCTAGCAACAGAGGGTCCTGTGGCACCTTTGAGACTAACAGAAGTATTGGGAGCATAAGCT